GAAAACTAATGCTTATAGCACATTTATTTCGCACTTTTAGTATATTTAAACATAACTGTTATATGGGGATTGGGGGTGGTTATTATCTGATTTTGCCCATTTTCTCAGCGTATGAAAAAGAGCTCTAAAGAGAACTTCTTCTCAGCAAATTTGGTTGAGTTAGCTGTAGCGGTTGGGAAGATATATACATTAAACCATTTAGAGGCGGGGTAACGCCCACCTTTAAAGTAATGGGAAACTGTTCTGAAGTTATTGAATTGTCATCGGTCCTTGACACGTCTGCAAAGTTTCAAGTTGATCAGACTTCTGGAAACCGGTGAAAATTGAGCTCTAAGATTCCATTACATACATACAACACAAGCTAATAAAAGGGTATTAATTAAAAATTAAGAAAGTTCTTAATTTTTTTCATTCAAGCGATTTTATTGTTTTTTAGGTCTCTATGAAATAACGAAAATTAAGTATTATTTTCCGGCAAAACCAACATTTTTTGGGCTAAACAAAACCATAAAAAAATAAATCATATTTATTATACAAATTCCTTAAAAATGTCTTTTAAGCTCCAATTTTATATAATAAAAACTGAAACCTTTATCCAAAATTACACTTTCTAGTGTAGTTCAGTTTGAATGGCAGCTATATATTGTAGTGGTTCGATATCGGCAGCTCCGATTAATGTCATGCTGATCATTTATATATGTATATAATTTATAGGGTCTCCGACGTTTCCTTTTAGGTGTTACAAACTTCGTGGCAAACTAAATATAATAACTAATCATTAAAATATCTTTCAGGCAGAATTCAAAATCCTATATATATCAACGCCGCAAATTTCTAGCCAAATAAAAAAATCTATAAAGAAACCGCGCTTGCTCTCGGTTGTAATTACGGATGCTAATTCATATACCCCAAGTACTATAATTCTTCATGAAAGGTAATTCGGTCTTAAGGGAGTCTTATGTTTTTAGAAGCCCGAATTTTAGGCTTTTTTTTGGACCCGTTGTTTTACCCAAAACTCCTATGAGCTGGATCAACAGACCCTCACATGTCGAGAAAGCGCTTTGTGCCTATGACAAACTTGTAGAGACGGCCAATGTCTGTTTCGGCCAAATATTCTGCCGAAAGTATGATTACCGAGATGTTTCAATCTCAGCCTAGCAAAAGCCAGACAGTGGAGGAGAACGTGCCGGGATGTTTCCACCTCCCAATCCTCCACACAACTTTGACAACTAGCATCGGTTAGTATTCTGAGCCGCACTGCATGAGTTCCCATTGGAGAGTACTCAGTGAGAACTCCTACCATAGCGGCGACACCTCCTGCAATCCACTCTCGGCCATAAGGATCTCGCAGTCACGCAGGAGTTGGTCGTCGACCAGCGTATGCTGAGTGCATGCGAGGTACATTGGTCCAGAGCCAGAACTCAAGACGTTAGTGGAGATTCAACTCAATCCCATTCCGATGTGAGCGGGGCAAGGGTACCCCCCTATTCATCTTTTTGGTTGACTTGGCACTACCTCACTCCGCTACGACAGTTCTGTCGCAAAGAGGACTAAAAACGGCATCTCTTCAATTTCGGGCGGAATAAAGGGTTTGACCGGAAGCCAGACCCGAGCCCGAGGCCGTATCGGAAGATCCGATTTGGCTACCGTCCCGGGCTTCCCCTGACCACCTTCATTAAGACAGCGGAGATGGCAGCCGCTACCCGCTTCCACTCGTCATGGGAGACGGCTCTCAGTTACGAGGCCAAGACGACGGTTGACGCTTATGAGGAAATGCGTTTAGAGGCAGACAAACACCTATCACAATAACTTAATGATGACGGGAGGGGAATGTACTCCAAGGCCTGCCATGGTTTTAACGGGACGGAGGCGGCCTTGTCATTAGCCCATTAGCCATTTCTCCAGAGTATCACCACAGCATACTCAGGTGACAGAATTCCATGACCCCCAACCCAGGGTTCAATCGAATCCATCTAATAGTTCAGGCTATGTCCATGTCGAGCAAAGGTCAGATCAGGAGTTTAAAAAAGGCCTCAGGTCATTTGCCGTTACCCAGGATGCACAGAACGTAGGCGTACCTGTACTACATCCCATATTGTAGAAGCTCTGTATAAAATTTCAAGTAAATCGATTGAACAGAACTTGAGAAATCATGCACACCGTTTCTAAAAAAGAAGTTAAGAGAAAAACGCCTTTAAAGCTTGCGTCGACTTTGTCGGTGCATCACAAAATGAGCTGTAACTCCAAAAAAAATTGAAATTTCAAAGAATCAAAAGAAATAGGGACATATTCAAAAAAGGTTATATTGTACTACAATAATATTTAAAAAAAACAACGATTTCTTAAAATTTTTGAACCAGAATACCCCTTTATATAATAAATTTTATTAATGATACAAAATACTAAAAAGTTAATGTGAAATCGGCTGATTATAATGATTCAATTCTAAAGAATTTCAATAGACAAATTTCCTACAGGGCAACTATGCATTAGCCAGTCAGCGTCGCTATCGCCAACGCCTTTTGACATCGCTGCCGTTCGTTGGTTTTGCTCATTTGGTTTTTAATGCATATTTACGAGTATGTAAATGCATAAATATCAACAACAACAACATCATACGAGTACATAGTAAATATAATAACAAACTGCATCTAATTGCGCTATAGATAATGCCAACGGCAATACGGTGGTGACAACAATAACAAACCAAGGAAGCTATAAGAGAGCGATCGATCGCGAATACATCCGCAGTGATGGCAGGCGAAGGCAGTGGCAACGACAGTGGCAAGAGTCCAACGAACGCCGCACAAATTGTATTGAATGCAGTCAACAAAAACCGTATCAAGAACACGACAACGCGAACACAACAATAACCAAGCAACAACAATTCTGCTATGTAGACGGCGTCTCTATGAGCTGGCGCACAAAAAAGAATGCAAAAGACGGCTCATATACATATACATGGCAGTGCATCGCAAATGACGATAATAAATGAACTTTGACATCAACTTCCAAAGCAGCAATAACAACAAAACAACAACAATAGCTACTGCTACTAATCTACATACGAATGGTAGCAACAAGCGCATGAGAACTTACATTTAGCCATTAAAGACCAAAAAACAAATTTTTATATATTTTTTTACTCAAGTTATTCAAAAAATCACTATAAAACCTTTCAGAAACGAAGACTTTTTGAAAGCTTAAGTTTACTGCACGCAAGTAATATATTACTGGTATATTGTAAGGCTTTAACAATTCATTGTTATCATATATCTAATACAATTTTGAAAAATATGAATGAAAGATTATGTTAGAGATATAATTTTTTGTCAAAACTCAGTTCAATTTGATTTTAAGAAATTTTCTTACTGCGTTTGATCTACATGGCACATCTAAGTCATCTCCTCAGCGCTATGTGATTAGCGAAATACTCGATTGATGTAATATTTTAGGACTCTATTCAGTAGCATGTGGAACGAAAATTGTTACGACGGCCCAAATTAATAGCTCAAACAGTCACCGACATTTCTCCCTTCCGTACTTATCGCCCTTATCAAACCAAATTAGTTTAAAGTTATGCCCATAGTTGTAACACAGAAATCAGTTGTTCTCTTTTGTTTTCATTTCACCAATGTTGACATTGTTCTATTTGTACCTATACACAATTTTACACACATTTAGTTTTTTAGCTATAATTTTTCATAATGTAAAAGCTCAAAGCTAAAATCCAACTACTAACAAGTAAGGAAGGGCTAAGTTCGGATGTAACCGAACATTTTATACTCCCGCAAAGTCAAATGGTATACTCGTTTGAGATTTCTTTGTGGATTGACTGATATTTTCGGTAGAAGGTCAACTATAGGCACTGGGGTCCACATATTTAGTACTTAGGGGTTTGAACAGTTTTGGTTCGATTAAGACAATTTTTGGCCGCAAGGTGGCATACTTTAATTGCATTATTCACGCAAAGTTTTACCCCGATATAATCATTGTTACCTGATTTGCATAGTGGAAAGTGAAAGAATCAGATGGAATTGAAAAAGGTGTTACATGGTATGTAAGCGTGGTTGTAGTCCGATTTCGACCCTCTTTGCACTATTACATAGAAACATGAAAAGAACGTTATATACCGAATTTGGTTGAAATCGGTTAAGCAGATCTCAAGATATGGGTTTTCACCTAAAAGTGGGCTGTGCCACGCCCACTGTCTAATTTTGAACGCGGTTCCTATAAAGTCATCTTATATCATCTCAGAGATAAAATTTAATGTCTCTGGCGTGTTTAGTGCTTGATTTATCTCGCTTTTAGTAGTTTTTAACAGTACCGTTATATGGGGAGTGGGAGGAGTTGCCACCTGATTTCAACTATTTTCACACCGTCAATAGAAGTGCTAAAAACATTTGCTTCTAGTGAATTTTGTTATTATAGCGTTAGCGGTTTAGGAGATATGCACATTAAACCTATTAGAGGCGGGACCACGCCCACTTTTTAAAAAAAGTTTTAACTGAAGATGCCCCTCCCTAATGTGATCCTGTGTACCAAGTAACAGTCTTGTATCTTATTGCGGAGCTTAGTTATGGCAAGTTATTTGTTTTTGATTAATGGCGTTTTGTGGGCGTGGCAGTGGTCCGATTACGCCCGTCTGCAATACCAACCGTCTCACGGTACCAAGAAACATGTCTACCAAGTTTCATAAAGATATCTCAATTTTTACTCAAGTTAGAGCTTGCACGGACGGACGGACGGACGGACAGACAGTCACCCGGATTTCAACTCGTCTCTTCATCCTGATCATTTATATATATATAACCCTATATCTAACTCGATTAGTTTTAGGTGATACAAACAACCGTTAGGTGAACAAAACTATTATACTCTGTAGCAACAGGTTGCGAGAGTATAAAAATAGTCAACCTATTTATAAATAAATGTATTCGACTGTGATTTTGAGTTATTTTAAGAATATTTCAAATATATTCAAGTTTAGTTTTTAATTACTACAAAATATCGATATTGGCAGCCCTGTGTTACAAGAGATTGTTCTCTCACTCTCAGCTCACTCCTTTTTACGGGAAAATCCAACTTTCACGAATATCCTATTGTACAGTCTGTAGAAGCGGACGGTAGAAGCCGTGTTGAGTGTTCATTTACATTGCGCTCTCTCAAGATAGCTGATCAGCTGAATTCCTCCCTTCCGGTGACTGTTTGAGCTATAACAGGCGTCTTCGATTTGCTCTCGTTGTTTAAGCATTGCTTTTCTCTAAAATATGTACCTGTGAAAGCAACAACATAGTACAAAAAGTAAATAATATGCCAAAACTTACTTTCTCATTACATACAAACAGGTCAATTAGCTGAGACAGATAAAATCTTTGTTGTCCACAATTTCTAAAAAAATTTAGAGCAAAAGAGTGGCGGTAATTGAGCGGGACGTCAAATATTCGCCCGTCTGTCTTGGAAGAGATCCGAAACTATCTGATTATTGATGAGTGTAAAAATTAAACTGCTTGGACCTTATAGTTCAAAATTATACCATTATGTAACCCTCGGCTAGAATAAACACAGCACACAGTTTTTATAATGTCTCATCTAAACTCGGCAATTTAGAAAGAGATGATTTGCGTTTCAGGTTTAAGAAGTGCTTGTTTTGATTTTACTTTTTCAATAGAGTACTACGTATTCCAGAAGTTGATCGGTAGTTTCTGCCTCCATGTTATAGAAGAGACATCAATTTGAAAATACTATAACCGTAGCTATCTTCGATTCCCTATTTCTTTACTCGATAACTTTGCGTTCTGCTCTGTTGTAAAAAAAGGAAATTATTAAATTATTCTCGAAAATTAATACACAATACAAAAATTTTTATTTTTGTTTTTTTAAAAACTTAAGGCTAAATAAATATGATTGTTCATAGAGAACAAAATTAAGTTACTAAAACGTTTTTTCACATTGAAAGAAAAATTATTTCACCAAAGGGAGGATCGCAATAAAATTGCGCACACAAGCACTGGGAGTGCTGTCCCTTTGTTCAACAACTAGTATAGTTTGTTCGATTCGCTTATCTGCAACACTTGGCGAATCGAAGACAGCTCATTTTAGCACGAATGCCTCCCGCGTCTGCAGTGGAATGTAAGTACATAAGTATATGGTATACAAGTATATGTACTTATGTAGCCGCAAATATTATAATATAATATTTTCCTTGAGGAGATTTAACTTTTTAAAGTTGTTCTCTCGCAACAATAATTTAGTCGGACGCAGATCCCAGTTTGGCAATCGCTTTTCATTCATTCATTATCTTCATTTTAGAACTTATTCATGATGGTGTATCCCACTGCGTAGTAGAGTTCAACCTAATGGCTAGAGCAGCGGGAGCTAATTCATTGACCGCTTCTATTTGTTTCTATCGATGTTGAAAGCTTTGCGTCTATTGAAGGGCCACTAAAATCTTACGAAATCTATATCCTGAAAAAAGATATAGTTAACGATACACAAAACTTTATACAAAATGCTTTAGGTATACCCACTGTACTTTCTTTACATTCTTACCAACACCTTATTAAAATCTTTAATACAATGTTTATTGCAATTTCCAGCGAAAAGCTCTTATTTTTTAGAAATGGTAACCAAATATTGTTTTTATTATGTATCTACCCAGAAGCTGCTTAGATTTGAATTTATCTGTGTTACAAATATTGAATTTAATGGCATTTACCTATAACTACTTTAGAATGTTCGACCGCAGTCTTCATCTCTTGGCGGGATCATCTCCACTGTAGAAACATTTCTCATTATCATCTATTTTATTCTATCTTTAAGAAGAGGGGTTTAGTGCTCCTTTCCGTCATATAAATTGAAAGAAATGTGGATATAACTCAAATCTTTCATACTGAATTTGAGGATATGTATAATGTTATATACTGTCGTTATATGTTTTTTTTTCACAAGTACTACGCACCTTTACGTAACCACTTAATATTTTATCTGGTTCTCACCTTATCTCGTTTGGAAAATTTGTCGGGCAGGCTAAAATAAAATAGAAAGAAGAAGTGCTTAATCGCTTTTGATAAAGATGTATCATTCCTCATACTGTATGTGTTATGTACATACATAAATACAAAAGTATAGAGAGATAAACAATGCATATATATGTTTAGCCAATTGAGAACTTTCCAGCGTCACTGCCAATTGGATCAGAGCTCTTTGAACCAAAATTGCAACGAAATAGTTTCGTGACGCCGTGGCTCCCGGTTACTTAGCTGGCGTGACGTGCCACTTGTGTCAATTTTAATCAAATAATTTCTACATTCATTCGTACAAATACATGTGTATATGTAAAAACGTACATATTGAACGGACAGGAAAATGCGGCAATAATGAACACAAACGAAATTCCATAAAACCATGTTAGTTGTTGATAGCTTCTTTGCTGCTGTACTTTGTAGTTTTTGTTGTTGTAGTACTTGCTATTCCACATAATTGTTGCTTTAGCTAATTCAGCAGCTGGTTGCTTGTGATGTGTTTCCCCTCTTTGTGTCGCTCTGAGTAATTTACCACACCAAAACTATGCCAAATGTTGTTGTTGTTTTTGGCGTTGCTGTTCTTGCTGTTTTTTACTGAACGAAACAATCCACAAGATCCCCCGCCTGCTGCAGCTGCTCAGCCCTCTTCGCTTATTGACATTATATGGATGTATGGTATGTATGTATGTACATACACATACATGCAACGGATTTTATAATCATAATGCCAAATGTATTACTAAAATATAAGAATGCTGGCACTACTAAATAACAATAACAACATCAGCTCACATACAATTGCTGTATGCGCTGGCACTTAAGAAGCCACTTCCGTTAGCAATTTACAAACTATTACATCTAGATACACACACAAATGTGCAGTACGAACGAGTATGTAGAACAAAAGCGACAGCGGCTGCAGCTGTGCAACGTCAACAATAAAAGCGTACAGCGAGCGAATCTTTGTCCGTCAGAGCGGCCGCAATAGATGCATGAATGTGGCTTATGGGCACGAAACGTTTAGCGGTAGTTGCGAAGATGTACAACGAAGGTGGTGGCGGCGTTGGCGGTAATGACGCGACCGTTTCTGCCACATTAAGAGCTCTTCAATTGGCTTGATTAAGCGACGGAGGGCTGACGATTTATTCATTGTTAAAACCATTCGTGAACTCATCTCGTAATGGGGATTGCATTTAAATTGATGAAGCATGCGCTGGAATTTTATTAGCCTCAAAATATTGTTGCAAAACAAAGACTGAAAAATCATTTCCATACATACATACATACGGTATATATTGAGACATCGGAGTCTTCCTCCACTTCCTTTATTTCGAAAAATGAGGTTCAAATGAAGTTTTGTAGTAATTAAAAACTAAACTTGAATATATTTGAAATATTCATAAAATAACTCAAAATCACAGTCGAATACATGTATTTATAAATAGGTAGACTATTTTTATACCCTCGCAACCTGTTGCTACAGATATAAGGTAAAAGACTGTTATTTGGTACACAGGATCACATTAGGGAGGGGCATCTGCAGTTAAAATTTGTTTTTTTAAGTGGGCGTGGTTCCGCCTCTAATAGGTTTAATGTGCATATCTCCTAAACCGCTAATGCTATAATAACAAAATTCACTGGAAGCAAATGTTTTTAGCACTTCTATTGACGGTGTGAAAATAGTTGAAATCGGGTGGCAAGTCCGCCCACTCCCCATATAACGGTACTGTTAAAAACTACTAAAAGCGAGATAAATCAAGCACTAAACACGCCAGAGACATTAAATTTTACCTCTGGGATGGAATGAGATGACTTTATAGGAACCACGTTCAAAATTAGATAGTGGATAGTAGATAGGTGAAAACCCATATCTGGTTTTTAAATGGACGAAATCGGACTACAACCACGCCTACTTCCCATATAACACCATTTTAAATTCCATCTGATTCTTTCACTTTCCACTATGCAAATCAGGCAACAATGACTGTATCGGGATAAAACTATGCCTGCCTATAATGCGATTAAAGTATGCTACGTTGTGGCTAAAAATTGTCTAAATCAAACCAAAACTGTTCAAGCCCCTAAGTACTAAATATGTGGACCCCAGTGCCTATAGTTGACTTTCTACCGAAAATATCAGCCAATCCACAAAGAAATCTCAAACGAGTATACCATTTGACTTTGCGAGAGTATAAAATGTTCGGTTACATCCGAACTCAGCCCTTCCTTACTTGTTAGAAGTTGGATTTTAGCTTTGATCTTTTACATTATGAAAAATTGTAACTAAAAAACTAAATGCGTGTAAAATTGTGTATACAAATAGACAAAGGCAACATTGGTGAAATGAAAACAAAAGAGAATAACTGATTTCTGCGTTGCAACTACGGGCATAACTTTTAAAAAATTTCCTTTGATACGGGCGGTAAGTACGGAAGGGAGGAATGTCGGTGACTGTTTGAAGCATTAGAAAACGTAGGAGAAATATTCCGCATTATTATAAAAATTTTACTTGAACTACACCTAAGTTGATAATCTTGCCTGACAAGACAAAGATATTGCAAAGCGTTCTCAAAAAACTAAAATATCTTAATTTAATTAATATTTTTTTGAATGATCTTGGAAAATATTTCTTTTCTCTTAACAGACCGAACCGAATACGCTTATATTCAGTATGATAGTGAGTAGAAATCGGCAAAGTCGTATTTTTTATTCATTGTTTAGAACCAAACAAACAAACGTTTATTGTAGGTTCGACCATCGAAAAAATGCAGGTACCCTTGTGAGATTTTGTCTCAGAGAATAAGTTCAAATATATCTCGAGTCGAGACTCTTTCCCACTTTAAATATTTAGCAAATATCAAAGTGCAATTTTTTGATAATGGAACGTAATGGTTTCGCAGAAAATATACCATTATACCTAGATCTTTTTATTAAAATACAAGTTTTATTTAAATTATGTCAAAAGTAATTTATTTGGTTTTCAAGAAAGTGAGAAGTGACGAGAAAGAATAGAGAATAATGCAGAAAGTGTAAGCTTCCTCTTATTACATTCTCGTTTTTCGTATCTGAATTCGTATTCTTCAAGTATATCGTAATGTCAAAGTAAAGTTATCGAAATTTTAAATTAAAATTAAGAAAGTATAATAACGCTCAATATCGCTATTGTATCTGAAGTTGTTATTTGTTGTTTTGCAGAAAATATTAGCTCTCTAGCTTAGGATTTGTTCTTACATACCTTAAGTACATACTTACATACATACATAAATCTTAAACACCTTCATAAATATAAAAATCCAACTTTACATATTTTATTTAGTCAATATATAATATATATCCCTTAAAAAAATATCGAAATTCAATGTTTTTATTCCCTTTCTTAAACCTTTGGCGTACATAGGATTTTTTTTTCCATTTCGGACACTCAAATTTCAAACTGCTTCGTGTTAGAAATTTGCATATTCACTTCACATAATCGCACTCGTTTCTATGTCGCTCTAAATTACTACAATGACAAGGAACGATTGTTACCATGTAGTTACCATATTCGTTTCAAAATGGGGAATACGAATTTATTTTCGATAAATGTCGATAACGCCAACAGGAATGCCAAATAGCCATCCTAATTTAAATTGCTTAAAAGTCTTTTTAATATTCTTTCGCTGCATCATGCCTCGACTTAATTATCTCGTCGTTTAACGTCAGCAGCTAAACCCCTCGTATCGCACTATGAAATTTAGCCGGACGGTTGAAAATTCTCTACCATGAAAGAAATGGGAGCCTGAGTCCCAACAAGCACCATAAACGATATAACTGTACATGGCAAAGGAAAATTATTTTTAAGTACATATTTAGTTTATATATTTATGTAGAACATTGGACCCGCTTGCGCACAAGGCTCACAACACGTTCGTACACAGCTCAGCCATATGTACACGAAGAAGACAACAATGTATGTATGTACTATGATGTATAGCATAGCCAACTATGGTGTTGGCTAACCACACATGCGCAGCAAATGTTCCGAACGCATGAGGGTTGATGCAGTAAGCCGTTGGTAATTTGGCACGTTCGAATTTCGTGGCTTGAAAAATTTTGGTTCCCTGTATTATTTAATCTCTGGAGTATTTCTCGGCGCGAGTAGTTCATCATCAATGTTTACTAATACATGTACAAATATGGATGCCTCTATGAATTAAAAAAATGGATATATGTATGTATGTACAACAATAATTGTACCTCCATTGAAGGTATTTCATACCTGAGTTGACTTTCCTTTACACGAATTTCAACCGAAAAAAACCGTCAAACCACCGACCAAGTCTTACAGGAGTAACAAGTAAGGAAGAGCTAAGTTCGGTTGTAATGGAACATTTTATACTCTTAAAATTTGCAATGTTTAAAGCTGGGGAAATACCTTAAAGTGTTGCTAAAACTTTATATTAAAACAAAGAGGCTAAAAAAGAAACTTAAATGAGCTTTTCAATTTACAATTCTTTTTTTTCTTTATTCAGTTATAAAATTCCTAAGACGAAAATTTCACTTTAAAATAATTAAACTTCAATAATAACATTAATTATTATCTCTTAAACGGTTAGGTTTGCAAAAAAAATCGTATGAAATTAGTTTGTCGTGCATTTAATTTCCTGCAAAATCTATGAGATATTTTTTCAAGTAGTTGGAAGCGATATATGCATTTTTCTATCTGATAATAAAAAAAAATAGAAGACTGTAAGGTGGATCCAATTAAAAGCTTATACTTTAGAGTACCAAATAAAAAAAATATATTCTTCTTTGTTTGACCCACCCTAATATGTATATATATCACGCGTCAAATACTATAATTTGTTATATATGGTGGCTTTCATATGTATGTATACATGATTACTTTACAGGTCTTTAAGAACAACCCAGAAGCTTACTACACACAATACGACAAATTATGAAGTCCAGATATGTGATTCTTTTATAATTATATTATATTAACAGTTATGCTCAGTATCTATATTTAGTATATAGGAGTACTTAATACATAAATACTTATATGTAAAGTCAAAAATAAATTACGGTTTACTGTTCTAATGCCTGATTTTTTCTAATTTACTGAGCCACTTTATAATGCCGGTATTAAGAAACTCTAAAGAGTTTCTGCTACATTGATAAGACAATCGTCCTCCTTGCAATCGTAAGCCTCCCTCTTTTTCAAGCATTTAAATCGCTATCACGTATTTATAAACGCTCTCAGATCCATGCTCAGCATATTCTCGCTTTTGCTCACGCTTAATTGAAAAGAGCAAAATATACAGACGGCGTACTTCCAAATAATCGAACCCAGATGAACAACCCAATCAACAAATAAGAGATATCATACGATTATTAAATTAAACGGACAAAATTTTTTGTTAAAGTGGTAGTAGACATTGAGGTTAAGGCGGCAATGGGTTTCAAAGAAACTTTAGAAATGTCATAAGTATATTTTGAAAGATATGTTTATCACGGTTTGGGTCGAATAAAAAGTAAAAGTACTGTATCCCCCGGATAATTGCACTTAAAAAATTGAGAAGTCTGTATTTTTTATTTGATAATTGTTCAATCTATGTAAAATAACATGCTACTCCATATTCCTTAATTCATATAAAAACTTGTTTTCTGAATAAAATTTTTAAAGTTAATTTTGTTGTAAGCATTTTAAAACTTTGAGAACTGACGAGAGGCTTTGGGGGATAATCTTCTTTCTTTTGCTCCTCAACATCAGCACTATCCAAAATAACTTCACCAATAAACATATGTTTTCAATTGATTTCCAGAGATGCACATTTTTAACCAATTATGTGAGCAAACCAATTAAAACCGCGTTCAATTAAGCGGAAAAATTTACACGTCTTTTGTATGCAATATGTTTTTGCCGAATCAAGTGATTCAAATAAGCGGAGGATACTGTATTACTAAAAAAAAATTGTCCTTGTGTTTTGGATTTGATACTAGAAAATTTTGTTCTCTTAGGTCCTCTCAAAGGAAGCTTTGAATACTTGAAGGAGTCATTGTTAGCTTATTTTTGATTTCAATATTTGATAATACATATTATTTTCAATAGACTTATATTGTATACAATAGCTATATATATATAAGTATGCGTACTAAACGCATAAACAACTTTTAATTAATTGCATCCTAACTTAAAAATTGAATATGTGCGAAGCTATGTTCGATCGTCTCGGCTAACTACTGTGGAACACTCGGAAAAGTGATTTTTACTTAATATGCTAGGAACAAAAGAAAAATATTTGATGTGAACCTTAGTTGTCTTTGATTCGGTAATCTTGGAGAGTAGCGAAACGAACGATACCTGGCATAAATCATTAGCTTGCATAATAAATAGGAGATAGTAATGCAATCAACGATGTTTGGTTTTTGCCTTCACAGTAAATTCTTCTGCGAAATAGAGTAGCTCAAATAAAGTAAGCATACATACGTTGAGTCATTCTCTGACCCTTTTGTTCTAATTATATATACCTTTTATGAAACTTTGTGCCATTTTACGTCATAATTAGTTTTGCTTACTGGGTTTCATTTCAGTTAGGGTTGCAGTTGGCGCACTCTCGCTTATACAATCGCTTTTAGTCGTTTTCGCGAGATGCGGCCAGTGACGAGTCAGCCAAGCCAGCAAGGCAGCTAAGAAATCAGTCAGCCAACGGAACTAGTGAGCCGAGTCGACGCCGTTATAGTGTGCAAAAAACCAGAGCAGGCAAAAAAGTGCCCAAATCGTGTACGAACTGAATTAAGAGAATAACACGCAAGATGGAACATCGTATGAGGCTAGCCGCTGTAAAACGACGACAGCAGCAACATCAGCGAACGCAAAGAAAATGTAAACAGGCAACACAAAAGCGATTTAGAGCCGTGTTCTTTTGGCTGTGTTGGTAAACAATTTTCGCGCTGCTATCTTTGGTCGTTTAGTTTTGATTTTGTATAACGTTTTTTGCTATATTTGTGTTTGTGTGCGTGAGTTGCGACGGACGTGCGTTATCGGCTGTTGTCGCGACGCTGCGTCGCGCTGCAAAGCAACGCTCTGCTGTATATTTATATCTTACCCGAGCCTTTCAGTCTTTGGAGACTTGACCATGATTCATTCTATTCTCCACTGCTTGTTCCTTCGTAAATAAAGTCGAACCGCAGAGCAAACGAAAGCGAAAATTAACAGCTAACAAAGTTGACAACAAGCCTATTCAATTCTACAGCTGCAACTAGAGCGTTCGTTGCTTGTGTTGGGGGTTTTCCAACGTCTCCAGTTCGCTGCAAACGAATTTGGATTTCTTTGTGCGCATATAAATATAGTTATACATACATGTATATACATGTAAAAGTGTGTGCAAGTGCCGAGTAGTTGTACTAATGTGTGAGTGCGTGCGTATTTGGTGAGCGATCGTTTATGGCTGACTGGCTGGCCGTCTGCTCATCCGCATGCCCTCTCTTTCTGCTCCTTGTTTTTCGCTATTGCTATTGTGGGTTCTTTGCTGCGCGACTTGGGATCGACTGCTGCTTCGGCTTGAAGCGTGATTTGTTGTTATTACAATGACGATTGTCGCGCTCAGCCCTAGGCGGCAGTGTGTTAAATGAATGCGCCTGCTGTTGTTGTAGTTGTAATTCTCATATATTGAGTACATTTGGTTAGCATTCTTGTTATATTTGTGTAGTCGACACGCTGATTTTGGCTTTAGCGCTGTCGTAGTCGCAGCCGTCTTGGGTTGTTTGTGTGCTCAACTCGGCCTGGGCTCGGGTGGATGGTTGGTTGATTAGTGTTTTGCCTGGATTTTATTAGTTGGTTTTTAAACTTGGTTGTGAGAGGGTAGTGAAAAATGAAAATCGGCCATTATAAACATAGTAGTCAGAACGCATAAAGAAAGCAGAAAGCCAGCAAATAAGAAAGCATTGAACTGCGCAGCTGGAAAAGTGAGTGAATGAGGAGGAATTTGTAAGACAGACGTTGAAGTGGAGTGAGGTAACGAATGAAAGTGCATAGACCTCGTAGTGCTTACGGAACACGTTATTTAGAACTTGGAGTGGTCCACATAAAAAGAATTAGCTGAAAATTAACTCAGTTTATTAAAAAAAAATTGAACTGTCGAACAGTGTACTACACTTGAACGCAAACTTACAAAAATTGCAGTGAAATATTTCGTGAAAAGCTTTGTGGATGGATGCGCTGAGAGCTAGCCTCGCTTTTGCCAATCCACTGGACGCATACTCAGCTAGAAGCGCAACAAATACAAGAACGCCCAAAAAGTCAAACACTTCGGCATCCTCATTGCGATCATCGCCAGCTTCCTCACCAAGTGCTTCCCCCAAATCTGTCAATACAACAGCAAACATTGTGCCGCTTTTGCCCACACACTCCTCAGGCGGTTCATCGTGCTCTTCACGGTCCAGATTACGCGTAGCAACCCCCGACTCGGATACGACTGGCGCTGGTGCTGGTGGTGGTGAAATGAGTGTGAGTGGTGGAAGTCAAATTGGCGCAGCGTTGGATATGAAGACAAAGGGCTCAGCAGCCTCCTCTGTGGCTCCCGTCACCGCTGCCGTTGAGCTATTGCATGCGGCGCCAACTTCTCAGATTCAGTCGCAGAAAATAAAAAAATGTGCGTTTAATAAACAAAATAAGTCTTTTACTGAAGTTGTAGATGTAAATATAAAATTTTCGAAAATTACTCGAGGCACTGCACGAGCTGTTGCAGGCGACGCTACCGAAAACAATAACAATAACCATGATAAAAACAATAGTAATTTGACGGCAACGCTTGATAGTAACTTTATGGAGCAAAAGCTTTTGCCAACAACTACAATGTTTGCCCCGAAGTTACTTCGAAGTTGTCGCAGCAAAAGTAGTCCTAGACTACCGCAACTATATCAACAACAACAGCTGCAACGACAACAAAAATCGGTGTCATTGCATCAGTGCCATCAAAAGCAGCGGCAACAACAACTACAAAAACACACTAAATGTTACGTACAGAAACCGAAAAAATATTTGAATAAGAAATTTAGACTTGAACAAGAACGCCAATTTGCTGAAGCTGAACAGCTTCAACAACAGCAACAGCAACTTTATTCGTCGACAAAAGAAAATTTTTTACTTACGCTCGATTTACTTGCAGTGGTTCGCCGTAATGCCTCCGACAAGTTGCGCCTCATCCAAATGGTTCATGACAATCCGATACTTTGGGACTCGCGTCTGCCCAATTTTAAGGGTGCCGAAGAAGAGAAGAATCGCGCTTGGGAAATGATTGGCAAGGAGTTCAATGCGCCCGGGCGGCGTGTGGCGCGCGCCTTCAAATCTCTGCGTGAATCGTATCGTCGCGAGTTGGCGCATGTCAAATTGATGGGTAACGGTTTTAAGCCAAAGTGGAGTCTGTATGAAGCAATGGATTTCTTGCGCGATGTCATCAGAGAGAGAAAGTGAGTATATATAAGAAATATTTACATTAAAAATTAAATCTGTTTGTATATGAGAGAGCAAGCGGGGGCTATATGCTCTATGGGGATGAAAATCTAACTCAAAGCTGAATTAACATTGAAGTTGTTGTATGTGTTTTAAAAGTAAACAACTACACTACGATTTATTAACTCACTTTTATCGAGTAGGTTGTTTGCTGATATTCAAAAATGTACCTGCATCATTTGGTGTACATTTTCGTGATCTTATTTCAGATTGTTTTTTACTATGAATAAATTAACTGAGCTCAGGCCTAATAAGAAATACGACACTACCCTTATTTAGAGCCCCCTGTTGTTAAACTCAACTCTGAGTAAGGTGTAGGACTGGCATTGAATTAATCCTCCGGTTGTATATCACCGAAACATAAACCGACCGGCCAAATACTGTCAACTCGGCAAAAATTTAAAATAAAACTTTATGGACTGTTTTGTTCTATGAAAACAACAAACTGCTTGAGTAAAAAATTAGTGAAAAGTCTTATCATTTTTATACCCTGAACAGGGTATATTAAGTTTGCCACGAAGTTTGTAACACCCAGAAGGAAACGTAGGAGACCCTATAAAATATATACATAAATGATCAGTATGATGAGCTGAGTTGATTTAGCCATGTCCGTTTGTCTGTCTGTACGTCTGTCCATCTGTCTGTATATATACAAACTAGTACGTCAGTTTTCAAGCTATCGATCTAAAACTTTGCAACTGTCCTTTTCTCACTAAGGAGCTGCTCATTTGTCGGAACGGCCGATATCGGACCACTATAGCATATAGCTGCCATACAAACTGAACAATCGGAAATAAGTACTTGTATGGGAAACTTTTTTATTTGACGTAATATCTTCACAAAACTTGGCATGGATTATTATTTAAGGCAACAATTTAATCTCCGAAGAAATTATTCAGATCGGGTGACTATAGCATATAGCTGCCATATTAACTAAACGATCGGATCAAAGTGCTTGCATGAAAAACTCTTTCATTTCACGAGGTATCTTCACGAACTTTGGCACAGAATATTATTTAAAGCAATAGTGCAAGCTCCGAAGAAATTGTACAGATCGGATGACTATAAAATATAGTTGCCATATTAACTGAACGATCGGAATCAAGTGCTAGTATGGAAAACTCTTTCATTTCACGAGGTATCTATACGAAATTTGGCACAGAATATTATTTAAAACAATAGTGCAAACTCCGAAGAAATTGTAATTGATCGGAGTAAAGTGCTTGCGTGAAAAACTCTTTCATTTGACGAGGTATCTTGACGAAATTTGGCATGAGGTTTTTTCTAAGGCAAGAATATAACCTCCGAAAAAATTGTTTTGATCGGATCGCTATGTCATACAGCTATCATATAAATTGAACGATCGGAGTAAAGTGCCTGCTTAAAAAAAATTTTTATTTTTTATTGCCGATTCACGAAATTAGATCTGAATCAAGTTATTGTAAGGAACCTTTGTACCTGTGAAGGGTATTATAGCTTCGGTGCAACCGAAGATATCGGTTTTTCTTGTTTCGTCCTGAGATCATTCCGTCTCTATACGATAAACTAAAGCCTCTAAGGAAAACTAACCCGCAGCTACCACTCTTCTCTTATGACTTAACGTTGAATAAGTAAAGATATGTCATCAAGGAATAATCGCCTCCAAAATTGATGTGATCATATTAGGTCATAAAGTCGGTGTACCATACATTTTTTTTTATTTTTATAGAAATTATTATTCGAGAAATTAAACAATTTGACAATTTGCTAACACGCTGACACGACTCTGCGCAAAGTTGATAGAGTGCAAATTACTATCTATACTTATTTATGTGTATACAAAATATAGAAAATTATTTAAACCGTCATATGTAATGTATTTATGCGGTAGTAGGCAAACAGATTAATTTTTTATGCCACAACATCATGAAATTCTTAGCCTGAAACTTTCAGTAATTGTGGGCCGTAAAAATATACAGTTCGTGAACACACACACAAACAAAAGCACAAAATATTTTCTCGCAATCAGCATCATGAGGCCATTACGCCAATGAATCTGCCACTGCAAAAGAACGGTCTACCCACGCATCTAACTATATGTATAGACATACTTACATACATACTCATATAAATACATATGTACATCTCTCAATTGAGGCATAAAAAATATAAAATCAAAACTTAGATGCACTCCTCAAGTAACAATCATAAAGTAGAGCAAACCTGGTTCACATAGTACGGCAGAGACATTTTATTTTCATGCTTATAAAGTATGTACCATATATGTATACACATTCTTACATGAGTATATGTATAATTACTTGTATGTGTTTGTACCCACACATATTTATGTAAGTACATATACTTGTATGTGTGGGCTTACAAAATTCTTATGCTGGTTGAGTGATTACGTTGGCAGCGGCGCGCTACAACATGCGAAATCTTATAAACAACAACAAAAGATAATAAAATTAAAATATCAAGCAATTTTTTAATAAAAGCAAATTTTACGATCATTGGCGCTTTTCGTTCCTATGTTGCTGAAATCTAAAGAAGCCCATATTCAAATAATACATTCATACACATGTATATACATACTTATGTATATTTTATAAATGTATGTGTATGTATGCGGTATCTTTCTTGGTTACAGGGAATTTACGTTTTGGCAACGAACGTTCGTTGAGTTCGATTGACGAGCTCAAATAGTTGTTATAGAATAGAACGCGTTCGGGAATCGTTCGAGCAGTGTGGTTGTTATACAAGCCTACTAAAGCTGGCAACATCAACCCTTTGTCTCTGGAGCTTTCTTGCTTTAGTGTTATCGTTCTTGATCACTGATTGCTGTCTCTCAAATGCATTGGAAATTTCTAAACTAGTACATGCCATACATACATACTCACATAAAATATTGTGCTTAATGGTTTTGTATCTTCACGGCTTTTGTGCGACACTATTTCAGTTAATTTGTTTATGAAACCATTATTGGCTCGCACTCCACACCCTAGATTGACGTACACACTGGTGGGCATAGAAATAAGAACATAATAATAATTTTTTATTGTATTACTTAGAATACCTTTTTGTTTAGATAAATTTTATTAAACACTAAGTTGAAGCCTAAACAATTCTTTCGTGTTTTTTCTTGATCCATCAAAATTTTACATGGATCAATTCAACTTATTTTGCTCTAACTTGCCTTAGAGTGAAGAAAGAGACCAAGAATTGGTGAAATGAAGATTTCAACACAAAGCTTTAAGTAAGCATTCAACTCAATTTAATTGCTATTCTTTGCTTTTTGCACCCTGTAGAAAACTTTTTCTTTCACCAATTTACAACTTCAGCATTATGGTACTATGTTTAGAGCGCATTTGATAGATAAATACCTTGGTTTATGACGTTATGAAAGAATAAAAAAAATACAATTAAAAAGTTTCCATGCAAAAATTTTATTTTGATCGATCAGTTTGCATGGCAGCTACTTTTATGCTATAGTGGTCCGATCTGAGCAATTTGTTTGAATATTGTATATACAATACAATAGTTCATGCCTCGAATAGTAAATCTCGCCACATTTTTTTAAGATATCTTGTCAAATAAAAAAGTTTTCCACAAAACAACTTGATTTTGATAATTCAGTTTGTATAACGGCTATATTGGCGGCTTTGACAAATGAGCAGCTTCTTGAAAGGAAAAGGACGTATGCAAAATTTCAGATCGAAATCTCAAAAACTGAGAGACTAGTTCGCGTATATCCAAACAAACGGACGGACGCACATAGCTAAAGCGGCTCAGCACGTCACGCTAATCATTTATATATAAGTATATGTATGTAAGTATATATTTGATAGGTTCTCTGATGACTTCTTTAAGGTGACTACACTTTGTAGTTAACAACTCTATACGCTTAAAGGCAATGTAATTGGACTTATGAAATCCAAATAAATTTTTTATTCTCAATGAAAGAGCATATCGATATCATAAATTACCGAGCAGTCGAACGTTTTTTCCAATTCGTAATGCGAGTTAATTTAAACCTAATCCAATAAATGAACCACTATATTACAGATGCTGAAGTTTTACAGTTACGAAATACCGTAATGAAATAATATTTTGATGTGTGTACATTTTTGAAGTTCTCCTTTAAATAATCTGCAAATCATTAGTTTGTGCATATGTAGATGAAATATAGGCGCTGTAATCAACATTTGCTTTCATAAAAATCTGTGCCTCTAATCAAGTGAACCGGCAAAACCTTTATCAACGAAATTCGCATTTTTGAGTTTCTCTAAAAGTGCATTTCGTCTTTTAAGATTAAAAATTCCACTAATTCGACCTAAGATATCGAACATGAAGTAGTGAGCGTGGTACTAGTCACCCAAACATTAAATATTGGCCCTATGCGTACAGTAAACGTACCATATGTAAATCTTAAGTCAGTATTCTGTACAGATTTTTCTGAAAATAATCTTTCTTTGATAACCATACGTTTCTTGGTACTCTTTGGAAGCATTTTTATACCCTGAACAGGGTATATTAAGTTTGTTACGAAGTTTGTAACACCCAGAAGAAAACGTCGGAGACCCTATAAAATATATACATAAATGATCAGCATGATGAGCTCAGTTGATTTTGCCATGTCCGTCTGTCTGTATATATACAAACTAGTACTTCAGTTTTTGAGTTATCGATCTGAAATTTTGCACCTGTCTTTTCCTCACTGAGAAGCTGCTCATTTGTCGGAACGGCCGATATCGGACAACTAAAGCATATAACTGCCACACAAACTGAACAATCGGAATCAAGTGCTTGTATGGGAAATCTTTTAATTTGACGAAATATCTTCACGAAATTTGGCATCAAGTATTTCCTGAAACAACAATGTAATTTCCGAAGAAATTGTTTAGATCCGATCAATATAGCATATAGCTGCCATACAAACTGAACGATCGGAAAGTTCTTGTAAAGAAGCTTTGTA